TTGTGAGTAGTTTGGGCATGCGTGGTATGAAATGATACGTCGTGTCCAATCTATGGATACATAATATGCATATACTACATATGATTTTCATATGCTTCAATGCTCGCAACGTCGTTCTTATGAGGCAATGGTGGCAACGCCAAGCTGCATGACCTCTACTTGGTATGGCTTTCTGCCAAGGGTGTTTGGGAGAAAGCAACGTTGCATTTGAGCATTCGTAAAGACAACGTGAATACTCAGCAAACGGTTTATCATTTTGTTGAACTAAAAGATCTGATTGCTCAATATGGCGAAGAACTGGCGCAAGATCTCGTTCGCCGGCACAAAGAAGCAGAATCTAAATTACCGGCTTCACAGAAGGGCATGTATATCAAAGCGAGCCTTTGCTAGACAATTTGTTTGTTTGGAACCCAATGTGTGGAGTGAACTCTTAGCCACAAATCCAACACATAAGATCAAAATAATCACCCCGCCCCAATTCGCCAAGGAATCCAGATTTCCCACAGAATGAGAGTCTGTGGCGGTACAAGGCCTTTAAGGACATGCATGAGAAGAAGGCTGAGCTGAACTCATCCTCTGTGGAAATCACCAACCATGCCAAGTTGACGGAAGAAAGCTTTCATGATACTGCGTACTCTGGCTGATCGAATGCATGCATGTCTCAAAACTGTTCAGCAGTCTAGTTGAATGATGTTGAATGGTAATTGTAGAACATACCCAGGAATGCAGTGATGGATGGCAGCTCTGGTATGCAGTTCGCTCCAGGGGGACCACTGCCAAACTCCAAACCTGATACACCCTTGCCCAAACCAAAGCCTGCTCCAAAAGAAAGGACTCCTGAACAAAAGCTAGCAGCAGCCATTTGGCCTGCACAAGACACATGTTCAAGCAGCACTATCTAGGCATATGTGATCAGTTAGCATGTATGAATGGGGCATTCCTAGGCCAACAACACCGCCAACCGCATGCTTACTGATGCGCAAGTTCTAGATTCGACTTTGCAAGGGCATGCCGAAGTGATTCTTGACTGCGTGCAGCATGTTTCATGCTCTAAGCTTATTACCCAATAATGGCTTCTAGTAAGTCCGCGCGTATCTCAGGGCGCCATCCTACAAAATTGCATTGAGTGCGGATCTGAAGAACGCGTCGGAGTCTCTTGCCTCGGCAAAGAATGCAGCTGTTCAGAGCCTGGCGAACAAGTCCGATGTCCAAGCTTCTCTGGATGTTGCTAGCCTTCACATCATGAAATCTGTTTGCATGTTTGTGGAGAAGCTGAAGTTTATTTCCCCGTGTGGCACTTAGGGTTTGAATACACAAATCGAGCAGTTCAAGAAGATCTTGGATTCAGTGAGGTCTCAGACCAGACCCAAAAAGGTTCCCAAGGGCAAAGCCAAAGCGCGAGCCAAAAAGTAGTTGCAATGCAACCATTTTGGGGGCAACTGCGTAGTCTGCACTGTGGAGGGCAGTCCGTTCACTACGTATGTTTGCAGTAGATCACATCAAAGCCGACTAGACCCTCTGAGCGCCCAAGACACTATATACTACTATATAGTTACTATATAGCTGTTCTAAATGTGATAGATTGAGAATATATGTTTCCAAGTGCCAGCTCTAGTTTGCAGGGTTGCGCAGGGGACATTGGCCTGAGATGTGCGTGCTTTGTGGTAAACTGACTACAAGCATTTGTGACGCAGCACAGGTGCAAAAGCAAAAAGCCCGTTCTTTGGCTTGCTTCTTTTCAAGACCTACGCCACAAATGTCCTGAGCACAAAACCGCCTTTACCCCACCCTTGGCCGTTTCCCATTAAAGCCACTGGCTCCTCCCACGCAGGTGAAGATCAGCCTTCAAAGCCACCTGCAGTCTTTGCAGAGCACCTGTAGCGTGGCGATGCTTCAGCCTTTTTTGGGGGGAAGGTGTTGGATCAAAAAGGGAAGGACCAAAAGAGCTTTTAAACCATAATTTCAACTCAAGTCAAGAGTCAAGGGTTTCAACGCTGTCAAGCTATAGGCTTGGCAATGTGGGCTTGGGTCGTGAGAGCGCACGCAGTGCCGTGAAGAATGCGCATGCTGTGTCTGAGGCTGGGTGGAGGCGTGACTTTGTTTTGAAGTAGCCACCCCACAGCATGAAAGTTCCTAGAAACTGCTCGTTGGGTTCTACATCCCCTGAAGGAGGCTGGGATGAAGAATTTGTCTTCAACTACCTCCAAGATGGCCTCTATCTCTCTCAAAAACAGGAACGCAAACCGAGATCTCTTTAGGTACATCCGATGCCCTGTCGACATCGTGTACGTAAGTTGCCCTGTCTTTGCCGACCCTGGTGGTGACAAAGTAGTGGAGCAGCTGCTCCCAATGGTTGACCCCCATGAGCTTCTTGAGTGGATGGCATCTTCAGGGCGCATCAAAGTTCCTCCTACAACCATCCAGCCCCTTGCCACGATTTTCACTGTAAGGAACGGTTTGGACAATTTTTAAACAAATGAAACGGTTATCAAATTCATATGCGTGCGTGAGCTGCTTAGGACCTATTGGCACCATTGGTCTTCAGTGTCAGATTGGGCACCAAACCACCCTGGCAATGGCCATGCTCTGCCAGTTAGCATCTATGGCGATGAGGCTAGGGTCAGTGATCATACTGGTCACAAAGTCATAGCTTTGACGCTACAAAGCCCATTGATCAGGAAAGAGGGAGCCTGATTTGAGTTCAGAACGGTTTTGGACCATGTTTCCTACCTTTGTAGCTGTTACTTGATCTTCCCTCTGCAAATGCATTCTGAGACATTTGTTTGTGCGTGTCATAAGGTGCCCCTTGGGCTGAGAATTTTTTGTTCTTCATCATCTCTTCAGCGATTGCTGTTGGTACTGGGGGCATTGTGTCTTGGATTGATTCCGCTTAGGCCTACAAATGTTCAAGGTTTGGGAATTTCACCCCAAAGAATGCAACGAGTTTTTGGCAGCAGCTCACTTGGAAGTGATGCCGTGCCCATTGCCCAGGACACGCTGAGACCAATCCTGGCACGAACAGCGTGGAGCCTCAACATCGCCTTGCGTGGGACCCGACCTCCTGCCAACGTTGCTGTGCCATTCCAATTGGGGAAAAGGGAAGCAGATCCTCTGATTCGTGGAACAATTTTTGTCCAATTCCAATCGCATAGTTCAATTTTTGTACCTAGAATTGCCCTTTCTCCTCCCAGCATTCATAGCAGAGGATAGGGCCTCTTCTGGCCAGACGATGTCAATGACATTCGCCTTGGTCGAGGTGAAAGGTGACTGGAAGTGGATTGTGGAAACATGGAGTCTATGGCGTCACTATTGGAAATGTGGCAAAATCTGTTGGAGATGCGATGCATCTAGGATCCCCAGGCTTGCAGGTATTTGTGTGTCGCCCCATTGATCACAAATGCCCCTGAAGGTTTGGGCCTCTGTTCATGGAAACATCCAATGGACTTAGTGTCGCCCCAAAAAGCACGTGTTGAACACAGATGCCCCTGAAGGTTTGGGCCTCTGTTCATGGACTTTGATCGTGAGTGGGACCTTCGCACAACGCCAGAGTTTGTTCGGGATTGCCTCCCAGCAGAGCCCAACCCCTTGGTTAGAGTTCATGGCTTCAATGTAGGCATGCTGATGCTCTCTTGCAATTCATATTGCTTTTCAAGTTTCCTTGGAGGGCTTAGGGAGAAAAAACACAGAGCATGCTTTCCCTGATCCCTGAGCATACAGTTTCTTACCAAGGAGACATTGCTCTATGCACTCCAGCCAGTTGGGAATATACCTTGTCCTCAATGCAGAGGGGCTGCTCATTCTTGCAGAGCACAGAGCCGTGACATGGGGCTGTACTTTTGACCAGGCCTTGAGCCACTTGTATGATGATTTCAGGCATTGTGTTCATCCAACTCTATCACGTGTTCGCACCGCCGCTGGTCAAAATCCAAACTTCATATGGAGACAGAGTATCAAAAGGTAATGGCACCATCATACCCATGGATCAAAGCGAAGGCTATGAACAGCAGGTTGATCCTAGGGTGGCTTGCAGAGTCATGGCCACAATCCAAAGCCAAGTTTTCAGAGTATTTTGGGATCCCCTGTTGGCTCACTGTTTGTGTTCAATCATCCAAATATCGACCATACCACCACCCCACCACCGGTGCCCAGGAACAGCTGAGCTCCGGACTGGAAGACCTTCTCAAGATTCGGCCATCGGAGGATCTAGCTTCGCACCAGCAACGGAGTCAACTGTGGGCGTTGGGCATTGCAACTGTGTTTCTCAGCTAGATGGCTCGCGTTTTTCTATGTTCAAAAGACAAGCGCACGTGCGTAAAGGGCACTGCACTGATTGGAGTGACATGTTTCTGCAAGGTGTAGCTTCGCGGAGTGGCAGCGGATGAGCGAGGTGATGCCAATCCGTCTGACACCGGTGGATGCTAACCACCTACATGAGATGGGGCTCCAATGCTTGCATTGTTTGAATGCCGTCGCTTCCGAGGCCCTTAGTCAGGGTCTGTGCAGGTGGTTTGTGCTCCCAAAGGTTCACTTGTTTCACCACATGGCCATTGACACCAAGCGGGAACAATGGAACCCACGCGGGTACCACAATTTCTCTGGAGAATCTTACATGGGAATCCTGAAGAAAATGGTGATCATGGCCAACAGAAGCCCCAAATTGGAGGAAAGAATCCTCCGCAGGGCGTTGCTAAGGCTGCAAGTCGGGGTCAGGTTGGAGTGAAAAGGGCGCCCAGGTTGTCGCCAGTCACTCGGTTCCTTGGTTCCTGTCGCTAGGGCCCGGTTACCCCAAATAGATGTAACTAGGAGGCCTTGGGCATTGTTAGGGTCCATGTCTGGCTCGTGATCGGCTTTATATGCAGTTGGCCATGTCCTCCACAACTGCTATTCCATCTGTGTGTGCTGGGAGTTATATAGACACCTTCAAAAGCCATCAAGCAAGAAAACGGCACCTATGCTGACGGTCTTGTCCTCTGTCCGCTGACGGCCGCTAGGTGCCGGTCGTACTGGCCAATCACACAATCACCTCAATGAGAGGGCAAGTTCCCCAATCCCCTGGGGAAAGGAATCACGACACACCCGCGAGCATCCACAAAGATGCACAGAAAACACAAGTCCTTGTAAGGATAAAAGCTAAAATTATTGACAAGTTACACGGGGAGTTCCATATTTTGTCTCAGCCTATAGAGTCTAATTTTCACGGCTATAGGTGCTTTTTCAACATTACTTTCTATCGCGTCGCGAACCACTATATATCTATTTCACAGCGCTTCCAGTACTCGTTTTTTTTAACTGGGGACAAGGGGCTGGTCAGCGACGGACATGTGCGCAAGTTGAACGGGGTCACCATACGCGACCAACTCGCCTAAAACATACGAACCAAGGTACCCGTACTTGTAGGATCCTGTACTAGTGTTATTGAGCCGCCCAAGGCTAACCAAGCAAAGGCCTGACAATCGAGTTTTTTCCTCTCCCCACAGCAGGTACAGAAGAGTCTAGCGTTTGCTCGCGGGGTCGAGGACGGAGTTCGAGGGCTCGCGTGACTTGGCTATGTCAGCCTTGGACGAAAGAGACATCTGAATGTCGGATAGAACCATGGAGTGTTCGTGATGAATTCAATGGTGAATCTATATCAATACATTGACTCTCCAACTCCATTTGTCCTGTTTGAGATCCATCGTTGTGGGCCCAGGGCACAAAGTGCCAGGATGTGCCAGGACACGATGTGGCAGGGTCCAGGTGCTGAACTCGGTGGACTTCTGTGGAGCCTCCCCAGCCTCCCAACCAACACTCGGATCATATCGGATCACCTCAAGCTCTCCCACATTCACTTGCGCAAGCACTTCATGGAGCTCGTTTTGGATCTCAACTGACAAACAAAGGTGCCAAGTTCTGCAGCAACAGCTGGGCCCAGCTGTCTGCAATCCGACCGTCCTGCGCCCAGCTGGACGGCAAGCATGCGCCCGAGGTGAGCCGAGCTCCGCCGAACTGGTTTTATCTGTGGGGAGTCTACTTGGCCGTCTTGATGTGCTTACATCGGGGTGGTGTTTGTGGTTTCAGGGGCTACCCTACTAAGTAACAGTATAAACTGTACTGTACATATATAAAAATGTACATATATTCTGGGTTTGGGAAGTCCCATTCGGAACCCCCGCTTTGGTGGAGAACTGGACTTTACCGTTTCAGCGGCAGCTGAGCTTCCCACGCGGGGCGATGGGCCGAATCTGCTTCAGCACTTTCACCTGGCGCACCAGGCAGGACCCGGGAACATCTGAGTCAAGAAGTGATGGTTCAACAACTCCAGAACCAACGCAACATGAACAGTGCTGTTCATGTGGGAAATCTGACATCTTCGAGGTCCAAGCCTCAACTATATCCACAGTCCTTGGGGTATTGATCAAGACCAACTCAATTTGATCGCTGAAGATCCTCACGCAAACTCTTCTGGTCTTTCATCGAACCTAATTGAGGCTGAGGTGCTTCTTCATCATGGCTGTGGACAACTGACCACATAAACTTAAAGGACCAAAATGCCGCAAGTCATGCGAATGCAAAACAAAAGCGCATGTTTCATCATGTTTCCTTGATTGGGTGTCGTGTCTATGCGACCCTCAACCCTAACGTGTAAAGCACTGCCACAACTGGCGGTTCTGAAACTTCTGTTTATGACCCAGATCTGGTTCCAGTCCCACCCAAACCCATGGCGTCCCACGGCTATTCCCACCAGCTTCAGCGCCTTCTCATCTCGAACATCTTCCGCTTCCAAGGTGGCAGGTGCCTTCGTCGGTGAAGCCGTTGTGAAACCGATCACGGTTTGGCGACGACCATCGGGGATCCAAGCCGCCGATGTTCTGCCAAACTTCTGTCATCCAACATGACCGGACATGCCGAACTATGCCACAAGATCGAACCATACCCGTTTTTTCTCAGTCTTCTCAAGGTTTGGCTCTCAAGGCTTCGCACAACATATCGTTGGGCTTTGCCCCAAAAATTGCGGGGTCTCATGGGGTGTCTGTCTTCGTCTTCACGCTGTCTCCCCGGGAACTTTCCACCTCCATGGCCACCAAGGTCAACACCTGCATCAAATGGTTCCTGTAGACGGCGGCTTTGAACCGGTGAACTCGTGAGCCGAGTGGTACCGGTGGTCACTCCGAGTACGGTACATCCGTTGACTATGCGTATAAAGGTGTGGTGATGTGTGGTGACAATGGTCAATGTGGTGACTGAGTCACTGACTGGAACCTAATGGGAACATAGCTTCTCCAATCGTCCGACTTCTTGTTTGCCTGTTTGAGATGTTGTGAGGGTAGAAGCTGAGCAGTGAAAGTTGGCCAGGCAACCCCAGCGGGGTAGGTAAAAATCTGATGGTTTGGGATCCCAAAGATGCAAAAATCCTAGGGATGTGGCGCAATTGGACGTACATCACCCCAACATTGGATGTCCAAATCATGTCGTGCCCTCTCTGTGCTGAGTTTCTGCCAACACTCATACTTTTGAGGCTCTACGATCACACAGTGGCAAGCCCGAAAGCGCAAAACCCCACACTGAATGGGATCATCAAAAGCACCAGAAAGGCTCCAAATCATGACATGCAATCGTGTCCCTGCAACCATGTCCATTGTGGCACCGGTCCAGACCAGTGTACGAACGACAAGACAGTCACGAACATCGCATGCCTTTATGTCAGGTCGCTCACGATTAACAAAGCAAGTCTTGCTGGAAGGTTCATCAGTCATGCCTTCAATAACCTGAAGACTTGACATGGGTGGCTTCGGGGGGATAATACAAATAGTACAAAAAATCAAATAAATACACCAAGTGGTAGCTGGAAAATTTCCTGTTTTATGTGAGGATGTGCAATGCATAGTTTCAGAGATATCCTCACAAGCATCAAGCATCGACCACCCCGTCAGTCAGGGAACCCCGCTGCATGATGTCCCGGATGATACCGTAGCCATCGAAGTAGCCGGCACCTGATTAGGGTCATCTGTCTGTGCCACGTGGCTGCGGACTCCTAAACTCAACACGGTTGCATGAACTCAGCGTGGGACCCAAATTCTCCAGCACTGAAAAAACATCTTCAACATCTTCGACCCACTAATAAAACGTGTGCACATATATATATATACATAATTCATGCGAGTGGATCTTAATCAGCGAAGTTTGAAGCTATCACTGACGGTCCATAAGCGGCGTAGCGTCGGAACGGAAACCGCACCTTTTCTAGTCGCTTGATCCTTGAGCCAAAGTACATATGGTATATATATATGTACAAGTTGCACTGTACGTGTCGCTGCACTTCCATTCGCACCCCCCATGTGAACGGCAACAATATGTTCCGATCACACACGAAAATTTAGGGATGTAAGTGCTACAAAAGAAATTGTATGATTTGCCGCGAGACTCATATGAGGCTCATACTACGAAACATGCTGGACTAAAGCGGACTTTTACATATAAAGTGTGCAACTATGGCTCAGAACCTTTGAAAAAAAATCGAATTGAACAAGTGAGACAGTCACGAGGCCTCGCTCAGTATCCACTCAAAAGAGCATCGCTTTGATGTAGATCCGAACTGGTGACTTCCACGTAGATGTCACATCGGCAACTGACTTCACACTTCTAAAAAAAATGTAGATTTTGATTTGGATACACTTACAGAACGGCAAGTCGGAGAGACAGTCGGTGACTGTCTGCCTTCCATTATGCTCATGGTATCAAATCGTTAATCCGATGATTTGCAATGATACACTTACAGCGTTTCAGGTCAGATAGACATCCGGTGAATGACTTCCTCCCTGGCTTGCATGGTATCCTCATAGTCGTTCAAAGAAATCACCACTGGTGATAACCTCTCCATCCACGATGATCCCAGCTGCCCTGAGCATCCCACCGATCATCTTCTCCCTTCTTGGACTTTCCCTTGGACTTGCTCTTTCCCTTTCCCTTTTCAGAAGGTTGAGGTACTTCGCGACGTTCTTGCGTTAGCGCCGGCCTCCAAGATGTTCCAGATTGGCCTCCTCCTTTGGAATGTCCTCGGGATGATGAAGAAGTTGTACCTTCTGCTGCATGTGTGCTGGCGGCAAGATCTTCCTGCAAAGCTTGCTCAAACACATCGGTAGCACTGGAAGGTGATTTATCATGTGGTCTGGCTTTTGGAGCAGCCTTCGCCTTGTTCTCCTCTGCTGATGAGGGCCCGAAACTCTTAGGTGCTGTTGAAGGTTTTTGCTCCTCACTTGGTGCTGACGACGGCTTGGCCTCGGTTCTGGGTGTAGATGCTGGCTTTGCCTCAGCTCTTGACGAAGATGCTGCTTTCGCTTCAGACTTGGTCGTTGATGTTGACTTAGCTGTTGCCTTGGCTGCCTGCTTCTTCTTGCCCTGAATCTCCTTGGCCCTATCTCCAAAGCCTAGACGATTGGTAAGAGCTTGAACATGCTTATGTTCTACCACGCTCATCCATCTCTCTGTATGTCCAACGTTGGGGTTTCTGGCCATTGACTCTATGACTTCCTGAGCTTGTGGGGGCAACCTGATTTCATGTTGATCAATGATCAACAGAATAGACTTCTCCCACTTCCTCTTCATTCTCGAGTACATGATGTCCAGAGGATCGATCACCTTGTGGTAGGGTGATGTAATGTCGGTTCTAAAGTAAGAGTATGTCCGACACCCATAAATCGCATGGATGCACTTCTGTACCAATTCAGTCATTGCGCTGGCTTTCTTCGCTTCAACTCCTCAAGCTGGGCATCAGTCAAGTTGGTGGAGTATTCGAAGTTGCCATATTCCTCCTTGAAGGATTGCGGAGTATGACCAAATGATAGGATCACGAGTGCCACCTTGCAAATGAATTGCTCTCCTCTGAATCGGTGCCAGGCCTCCTCAGTTGTAATATTGTTGTCGTTGGCAAAGATTAACATCATGTCATCTGTTGGATCCAATGGTCTCCCATCGTCATCGATTTCAGTGGAATCCCCTGTACCGAACTTGCTTATCACATCCAGGCGCTTCCTTTTCCAATTTGCTTTGAAGTCGGTAAGGCTGGTGCAATAGTAGCTCTTGTACATCAGGGAGATCATGTTCAGCACACATTTGACCACATACCTATCCATCAAACCCGATGCATTCATGGAGACGTCCTGACAGTAGGCTCTCTCTTGATGCGCATAGATTCGAGGTTCCGGTACTTGACAATAGATGGGGAGATCTTCGTTGTCTCTTCCTTCTTCGGGATTGAACTCGGTCGCTCCATGCTGTGCATAATATCCCGGTTCATCACGATCTGTCGGTCGATTCGCCTCCGGATGTAAGTCGTCGGTGACGTCTTCATCCTCGGGCTCACCATCTTGATGTTTCTTCCCCTCATATTGTTGTGTGCTCCTCTGGATCTCGATGATCACGTTTCGTTCATCTTCATCTTCTAGATCAGAATCACGACCGTAGTCGATCTCGTCCTCATTGAAAGATGGGGTCTCGACATTGTCACTCTTGAAGTTTTCTGCACCATCAGACGGTTTGGAAGGATCTAGATTGTCCATGTCCTCGTCGTCGTCAGCTGCTTCAGTTTGAGTGATGTCTTCTTCCCAAGCCTTTCTGATCTCGTCCATAGTGGCCTGGTCCAATATATCTTGATCATCACGTTCAGGCTCCCTCTTTTCCTTCTTTTCCTCTTCATCGTCGCTCACAAGATCAACGGGTGAATCGGAAATGACAGTGTTGCGAATACCACACGAGAGTAGCCTGCCTTGACAAGATAGACACACGGACAAAGATGAAGAAGTCAAATGCATACATGATGGACACAAAATATTGCCATCCACGTTGCGATACCCTTCACATGTTCTGGAGATGATTTCGTCCCAAGTTTCCTCACTGATGGAATCCTCGATCAGCTCTCCATTGCCATCGAATTGTACTTCATCGATAAGGGACACGAGCTTTTGGACGTTGTCATCTGTCGCCGAGGCTGACTTCGTGACTTCGTCGGCTCTCTCGAGGATGGTATGCTTCTGAGCAACCCAAAGTCCATGACGTGCCGCTAGAACAACTTGCTCTCCAGTGCTTCCCAGCAGGAGTCTCCTCCATGCCTGACCGTGGTCGTCCCAATACCAAGCACCTCGTACACATCTCCATGGAACTTCTCTAAAAACAACAGTGTAGGAATTCTCCGAAATTCTTCCCCCGAGCTTCCTCAAAGTCATGATTGGAACATAAAGGCAAACGGGCATTCCCACTCTTGGCCATCTTGATCTCAGAATCTTTGATGATCGATCATCCCACGGCGCAAAGTGGTTGAAGAAAACACTACCTCTATATCCCTCCGTTCCACCAGGGACAATTCCTAGTTTCATGATTGACTCAATATTGGAAAGCGATGTCATGTGAAAGCTTCCTCCAAGCTGCATTGCCACATTCTCTGGAATGAGATGTGAAGTCCACACAGGATATATTGACACATCCTCTTCAAGAACAGTCTCTCTTCCAGAATTGTGAGAGGCAACAGCTCGAATTGCACAAGGAACGATCCAACGTTCATGCTTCAGAAATGACGGTGCGTCCGTGCCGTAAAACATGAGATTTGCCCAGTATTGCCTTTCCTCTTCGAGTGAGACATCCTCCTTTGAGATGCGAATGGCGGCAATCTGATAGCGTACTCTGTTCTGCAACTTCTTTGCATGCCACATCGCCTTGCATAAATACTGGTATCGCTCTGTCTTGGTATCTTGCTCACGTTGAGTACCTGAGATAGTACTGATATTGACACCATCGTTGAAGACATGATCATATTCCAGGATCTCATCGATGTTCACCCATCCACCCTCATTGCACTTCGGGGACACATGAGGTTTTCGACCGCGGTGCGATTGAATCCCATTATGCTTTCCCACTCCATGCCTGAGTAGTCTATTGAGTCTATGGCTAATCTCATTGACCCACTGACTCTCCTCGCTGGACTTGTCGATGCGAGTTGCTGGGTTCATCTTTGGTGGATCCGTGAAAGTTGCATCTCTCTTCGGTCCATTCCAGTACTCCACATAGAATGTAACTCCATACTGTGGAATTATCTCGATGTTTCCTCTATCGCAAGTCACCTCAATCTGCCGATATCCAGCCTTTTGAACTTGTTGTGGGTCAGGAGCAAGGTCCTTCACTTTGGGCATCTTTATTCCGAGCGCTGCAGCCTCCTGAATAAGTGCATCAAGTTCCCTCTTTCCATCGGGACCTGATCTATCAACCCTGTGATTTGCGACCCTGTATTCTCCTCCTTCTTTGTCATCGGCAATGTCAAAGAGGTCGACGGGCTCTTTGAATCTGGTGACGAAACTGGCGTTCCCAAAGGCCTTCTTGGTTGCCTCGACCGCTTTCGCGTATTCCTCTTTTGCAGAGTCTGACGAATGTGGTCTACCTTTGGCTCTCGGAGAGTAAGGTGGTACCTTACTTCCTAGTTCCGGCTCTTCTTCGGGAAGTTCAATATCTTCATCATCCACATCCATATAGTCCTCGTCTTCGACGTCTTTGGATGACTTGGCTTTCCTCTTTCGGCTTTCAACATCACGTCGGATGATTGCCTTGTCGTCCTCGGTGAAGCACTTGCGCATAGTGTCCTCCATGTAAGAAAATGAGTTCATCAACTCGTTCTTCTTCTCAGTGTCGGGACAAATAGCCAGGTGATGTTGGTTTGAACCACAACAATAGCACACCTTTTGGCTCGCTGCGCGTGCTCTGACCCTTCTGAGGTTGTCATAGGCGGATTTCCAGCTGGAAGCGGTTGCTGTACCTTGCCCACTGCGCTTGGCAGCTCTTTTCCGTTCCTCAGTATCTGGATTCGATGTCGGGTAGTGTGACCATGTTTTCGTCGGAGATACTGAACGACCTTCCCCTTCCTTGTAGTCTTGCGGATCAAGCTCAGGCGTAGGTGGTTCAGGCTCCTCGACTCCTGGAGTGGTACTCGCAGGGTCGGCTTCGCCATCCT